TTGTAAGATAATTGAATTTTTATTTTTGAGAATGTTTTCATTTTATTAATGAACCATTGTCCATCAAAGCAAATGTGTATGCGCGTATCGTTGATACTTTCAAGCAATGAAATAACAATTAACATAACCAGAATTTAACCTATATTTTTTTTTTTTAAGCAGATAGACAACGTTGAACTGGTGAACGGTGGACGAGGAATAAAGAACCCACTACTGCAGAACCACCTGATAAAACAGTTGCACGAAGGACAAGATCTCAGTAAGTACATCATGAGCGATAATGAACAAATAAATCGAACTTATAATACTAATGAAATTAGTATACACAAACACACGATCAACTCAACATATCATATGGTTTTCAATTGTACAGGTGCGCAGACAAAAGACAACAAGTTCTTATGTCGAGTTTGTTTGAAAAGCTTTCCTTTGCAGCGACTTCTCAATCGCCACGTCAAGTGCCACACGGACATCAAACGCTACCTCTGCACATTTTGTGGCAAAGGTTTCAACGACACTTTCGACTTGAAGAGACACACAAGAACACACACTGGTTGGCTTTCATTTACATATTTCTTTTTTTGATTTCTAAGATTTTCAAACAAAATCACAAATAAAACGATTTTGGTCAATTGAATAATAACTTTGTTGAATTTAAAATTAATGCAGGAGTCCGTCCATACAAATGCGAGCATTGTGACAAGGCATTCACACAACGTTGTTCACTGGAGTCACACGCGCGGAAGGTGCACAACGTTCAGTTCAATTACAAGCACAAGGAAAGGAGAGATAAGTTGTACGTGTGTGAGGAGTGTGGTCACTCGACGAGACAGTCTGAGGAGCATTTTGTACACATGAAGGACCAACATCCACACGTGCCTACGTCCGACGAATGTTCAAACATTCCTCGTCATGAAGCTGCTAATGTGGATTTTCCTAAAGTCAATCTGATGACTATTTTTTAAAACCTTTTTTAATTTTATTTTCTATTATCAGAAATGTTGTTTTGTCTGATATAGTTAACAAATTGTATATAAATTGAATTTTGTATTTTGACACTGTAAATAGTAATGAATGATTATATTTTTCTAAATAAATTTTTCAAGTCAAATCTTTTTAGAGTATACAAACACACACACACAAACACGCACACTCCTTACGCAACGGTAACTTGAAAGTACATGCCTACGTAGATAACGAGGTGTTACAACGCATTACCCTGGCAACTTTTCTATGAATGAAACTGTTAAACATCATCTGGAAATCACTTTCGTGGTGTCATAACACTTTCCAGTGCTCTCTCTTAATGAGCTAACGTGATTTCTTTCTATCTGTCTTGTTCGTTCTGTCAACCTGCGAAATGCCTTTCAAAATTTGACGGTTTGTCAAAAGTTGATTTTAACACCTCACTTTATCATTGGACAATTACTAATGTTTACCAAGGCAAACACAGACATGCATCAGAACGATTAAACGAACGAATAAATAAATAGTAAATTAATTTATTCATATAACCTCCCGCTTTTCCCCTTTTATTTGATTATTTATGATTGCATAATTGTAAGAGATAATTAATTATTAAAACGATTTCAATAGTTTTTTTTTGAATCAATCCTTCTTAAAATTGGTTTACTTAATTAAACACATTTTTTGTAAAAAAAAAAAAACAGACAATCTTTTATTCAAAAAATTTCCTCATTTATTCAGGTGCAAGAAAAAATTAATACTTTTCAATAAATTTAAATGAAACCAAGAAGATTATAAATTGTAATAATTATTATATTTGGTTAAAGGTCCCTAGTTATTTTATTATTTACAATTAATGTACGAAGACCATCCATCTATTAGGGATGGGAATGGAATCCTTTTTATGAAGCTCAGATTTATTTCGGTTCGGCCACGAGTGTGGTTCGGTTCAATTAATTAGGCAATAAAATGAATTTAAAACTTTATATTAACTTAAAAAAACAATTCATTGCACAAAAAATAATAATATACAAGATTAAAGACAACAATTGTACACAGCAGTTTCAAAGTTTGGCTGTTTGGTTCGGTCGTAAGAAGGATCCGGTTTTTTCCCATTTCTAAATATAACCTCTAACGCTTTGAAACGTGGTGGTAAAATTTGGCAGGTTATTTTAAAGACATATTTTGTCATCAGCAAACATAATTGTGATACGGTCACCTCAATTCAACATTAATAATAAAACTTAAATGCACTTTTAGCCAACCTTAATTTGAAACTTGTCCTTCTGAAACATCTTCGTTCAGTTGAATAATAGAAAAATTTAGTGGGTGCAAATTTATTGATAAATAAAAGAGGACCAAAAAATTCAAGGTGAGTTTATAAACTTGTCGTTCCGTGAAGAGAATAACATGCACTTCTTTGATGTTACGTAACTTGGAGGTTCAACGTGATATGAAGTAAGGAACAAAAATAGTGTGGGCGATACCAAGCAAATATTGGCGATGTTTGATCTATTGTACGCTGATGGACTGATGGGTTGGTTGGCTGCAGGATGATCCATTGCATATATCCGTTGTCAACTTCAAGCTTTTCTACTTACATTTATGCTTCAAGTTTGAATTAATACAAAACGTTTTTTTTTCCAAAATACAAACATTTAATAAAATTCTGTTGAGACACATACGAAGACAAGCTACAACCTTCATTTAATATAAATTAGAAATATCTGCCAACAGAACTTCGAAGTTATTTCAATGAGCGCCCTCGTTGAATTGCACAACCTTAATTATTACGTCAGAAGGAACAAAAATTGGATCCACTGGATGTCCTCTCTTTGATGTTCCTGTTTATTTTTTTATAATTATCAATTATGCATAATTGGCTGACAAAATGCTTTTTCTATATTTATGTCGGTGAAGATGTGAGTAATGCTGATATAACTAACGAGTTGAAGCTTTTTAAATAAAAACGTTATTTATTAAATTTATCAAAAACTCAAATGTAGTACAAATGTAGTATTAAACAATAACGATATTTGTAAAGCAGGGAAAATTGCCAACGGTTTGAACTGATTGAAAACTTGCACAACGAGATAATCAGATGGATTGTCTGATTTCTAACAAACTCTGCGAATCTGTTAAGCTGGTTCAACTGATCACGAACTTCTCTGTAATAGTTAATTGTTTGGTTTTGTAATTAATAAAAAAAAACTAATAATTTGAAAAAATTTGTTGCAGAATGATTA